TCCAATTTGGATATTTATATATACTTTATGATATGCTTATTTAAATTTTGACAAAATATTTTACATTATTTCACAGCATCTCTCAAAGGGTTGAAACATATTTTCTTCTTTTTTAATGAAACTAACATAAAAAAAAAAAATTGTTAAAAATTTAAACTCTGCATTTACATTTAGCAACTATAATTTTAGTAGTTTTTTTAGACATTTTTATCACTCTAGGAAATCAGAACATTTCTTTGTAGTCACATTCTGAATATTGTTGGGTTTTTCTCTTTTCTGACACCAGTTGTTACGTTATTTTCTTCCTTCACGTTCGTACGGGGTTCATAGATTTGGAGTGAATAACAATGACACTTGATGAAGTATAGAAACACACTTTATTTACCAATATTAATCAGATAGCTCCATAATCAATTTTACAGTCGTCGAACTGTTATAAAAACGCGGACACGTTCAGCGAAAAACCTTCACACTGTCAGGCAATAACGGTGGAGACAGTTTCACTGCAAAGCACCCGAGTACAACTCCCAACTCTGCTTGGTCGTTCTCGAACTCCACGGACTCTCAAGACTCTCCACGCAATGTTCTCGACTATACACAAGAGTATAGCTCTCAACTCAGTCTAAGACAAAAACTCGATGATGCACTACTAAAAGAATCTCTCGATGCATTCGATGACCAACTCGGCGCTAGACTTCGAGAGACTCGCTCAATGACTGACTATCAGCTCGCTAGACGAGGCACACACTAACTGACAGCGGACCAGCTGGGTTTATATAGCTTTTGGCTTGTGTTTGAGAACATTCTGGGCTAAACCGGTAAGAATTCGTTCCAGAAGGTTATCCATCCATCAATGGGATATCATCAATTTTGTCATCAAATGGGCAATTTCTCGCCAAATGTGGCAACCCTGCCTTCCCTTTTCCTTTTATAGCAACCCTAAAACTGCTTTGCGGGGAAAGCCATCTCACCACGCCTATACATTTTGTAACAACATGAAGGTAATTTGACTGAGATTGAAAATGCTGTAAATAACAGCCATAACTGATAAAAGGAATATAAATTCATGTTTATGGCTGAATAATAGAGTAAGTGCTTATGTTTACAGCATCCTTAGTAGTTTAAAGAAGCAAGTAATAATAAATTGTTAATAATTTAAATTTGTAATTTTATATTTGATTGTATTTATAAACAATAAAACATAAAATTACAAAAAACAGTTAAAGAAAAATAAATATAAGCTTTATTCAGAAGTCATTTTCAAAATTCAGAAGAATTTTGTAGGTATAACGCTGATTTTTGTTGTTTGACTTCTGAATTAGTATTTATTCGGCGTGTTATTGTGTCTTAAATATAAGCTTCTTGATCATAATATTTCTGATATTCTGAGATCAAATGTATAAACATTGTGTTACAGAAAAAATTTCAAGTTCATATCAAAATCAATTCTTTTTAATTAAAAAAAAAACTATGTCTAGAATTTCGGTACTATTCGGTTTTGAGGGTCGTAAAAAATTGTCAAACTACTGTTGATGTTATTGCTGCCAAAAATAATTGCGGCAACCCTAACGCAAGAAAGGAAGTATAATAGTAAATAACTATTTAAGATTGATGTTTTAATTTAGACGAAAGGTTAATTTTATATAATACATTTTTATTATTATAATTTATACAAAAAAGGCTAAACATGACTGAATGAAGAATAAGAGTAAATAACTATTTAAGATCATTATTATAATTTATATAAAAATTGCTACTGAATGGATGCCTGTATCGCTATTTCGCTACCAAGTTATTGCTAAACCATAATTTCATCTCGTTGGTTGTTCAAACATAATTTTCTATAATAAATGATGCCTTTTCTTTGAAAAATTTCTTAGTAAAGGGCAGACTCGCCCACTTATTTGTTTGCCACTTTTACAAGGGTAAAAACAATTGGAATTTTGTCAATTTTCTTTTACTTTTTAAGTGTGAAAATAGGTCGATGTGTACATAGATAAAGTCAAGGGTGTGTGCAGTGCCATTTTTGTGCAATTCTGGGATTTCTTTTTAAGTGAAAATAGGCCAATGTGTACATGGATACTGAGTATGTGCAATTTTTAAAAACGCGCCAAGCAGCGGGTGATTCTGCACTTTACCGAAAATTCTATTGCAGACTTTTCGTCATGGGCAATTCCCAAATTGTTAAATCCATAGGATATCAAAAAAGGAAAAAATTAAACTAGTATTTCAATGGCGTCTTAAGAAATATAGAACTATATAAACTTACACAGTCTGAAATCAGCGCGTATGCTAGATTTGGCGCGCTGTTAAATGGACGCGTTTGCTAGATTTGCCACTTTTGCGCATACATTTTCGCTGCAATTTTTTTACGGTCCTCAAAGCACAGAATAGTACCTAATAAACTAATAAGGGTTAACTACTCTTTATTTCTCTCAAAATAAGATGAACTGGCGGCTCCTTTCTCGGGCTTACAACAAAGCCTCTACTTGAGCTTAAACTCAAAAATAAGAAATAAGAGCTGACTTAGAACTGATTAAAAGAGACTTAGCCGAAGCTAACACAAATCTAACGCAGCTGGCACTCAATTTAAACTAGCCAGCGAAAATCAAAAGGCGCGTAATAATATGGCCGTGCGTAATAACTTAGCCCGAATGCAAACGCGAGCTACTCGGGATTCCTAGCTGTCTCTCACGAAGCAAGTTGAATCTTCCTTTAATACTACTTCTAACTCATTTGCATTCAACGCGATTTTAAAAACTCATTCTGGTAGGGAGTTGTAAGTTGAAAGAAGAATCGATAGGAAAGTATACTGAAATAAAAATAACTGTTATAAAATTAAAATATACCTTACATTTTATTTGCAGAAAGTGCATTTAGGTGCCAAATGAATTAGTGTATGCAACTTCATATCAAATTTTTCGTATAATTTTGCGATTTCTCTTTCGTTATGCATATGCCCTAATGTTTATATTTTTTAGTTCCAGGTCATTATTGAAAGCGGTAGCGCAGTAGGTGTGGATACAATTAATTTGTACTCTGGAAAAAGCTACCGGATAAGAGCTAAGAAAGAAATCATTCTAAGTGCTGGAGTCATTGGTTCTCCCCATCTGCTTTTGCTGTCAGGAATTGGCCCAAAGAAACACCTCCGGGATCTCGGTGTAAGTGAAATACTATTTTAAAGATATTTAAAAGCTAAATTTCAGTAGCATAAACCAAATAAAGTCTAGCAGTAGCAGCAAACTTTGACCAAGAAAAATGCCCACAAATAACCATCTTACACAAATAAAAATGAATGATACTTTCACCGGGTTTAATATTTTGCTAAAATAAGCTAGCCTTTTTGTTTGTTTGTTTGTTTTTTCCAGCTGCTCTTGCTATTTTGCTCATTCACTCCAAAATGCATAAGTAAATTAAAAGAGCGAATAAGATTTAAGAGCTTCCGATGCGATTACCTCTCTAAAATGCGCCGCCGAACAGGTTAGGTTAGGTTATTTAATTACGGCAAAGCCTCGAGGTCTATCTGCCTAAGGGGAGGGATGCCTTTCGTGGTGGACTTTCTAAGGCAAACTGTCTCGTATACATGTTACACTTGGGAAAAACCGTGAAAACACCCATGCAGCCAGCCCGTTCGCGGATTCGAACCTTGGACCGAACTACCAGTGTTCAGCGACTTTACCGCTCGGCCGCTGGTGGGCCGCCGCCGAACAGGATAGCGCTTTGTGTCTGACTGCCACACCAAAAGACCCGAGTTCGAATCGCAGAAGCATGGATGTTGCAATCATGTGGTGCCTTCGCTGCATAAGAGTATGCTATGTACAGGATGTCTCTAAAGGTCGTTGCCAAACTGAATTTTTATACGATCCTCAAAATGGAATAGTACCAGAATTTCTATCCCTAAGTTATTTCTATTTCACATACACTGTTTAACCAACTTGATATTTTCTGATCACTTTCCTAATTCAAATTTACTGGCATGAATTTACAACACCCAGAGACTAGCAATGTAACATCAAAATTTTAAACATAAATATTAGACTAACATAAGTAATGTTTTAGAGAAAACACACATAGCAACTATATTATTAAATCAAAAATGAATGTTACTTAAGAAATTGATTATTCTATTTATCTTTAAGCTGCTATTTTACTTCTTATAAAGTAAACTTCTGTTCGAAATTAATATGACCATACTCAAATTATACACATAAAACATTACAAATAACATACGTAATATTCATACTTAAGATTTACATACTAATCTACTTCTATGCATATACAGTTCTAAAAATGAACCCTAATTCCATTTAAACCCCTACTGCATTTAATTAAATTATTACAAAAATAAAATTTATTTAATAATTTATTTAAAAAATTTTCATCTTAATTTATTCTCATATATGCAGCTTAAATGTCTGTTTGTCGCCGAAAGTTTAATGGTTGCTTGCGTAACTGTACTAGCCAATGGGGTGAAGTTGCCACAGCATTCAAATAGTCCAAATACACTGATACCATACATGCAGTTATCATTGTTTTAATTAAATTATCGTAGTATTTAAGAACATTTAAATATTTTTAATTCATACAATTGTTGCTTATTATGCATTTAACTATATTTACATTTGAATTACCTAGAAAGTTGCAAACGTTGAGAAATTAAAGGAGACGAAACCAACTAACGAGTTGTACGTAGTACATCTCATCAGGTAGGTTTCACCAAACTTCTATGCTAAATATCCTTTCGCGTAAAGAGTTTAATATTTTGCCCGATTTTATTCCGCCATTGTATTTTAAACTGAATTTTCACCTGAACACAAATTGAGCATGTCAGGGGGAGTGTGAACATTTGTTTGCATTAGCAATCATCTATTAATAATCAATTTATAATATCTAGAACAGCGGTCATTTCGTGTGACTGTCGGGCTTTCTAGTAGTATAATATTACGACATAGTGTAATAAATAATTACTTAATAAATGATAAAAATTTGTTCTACCTTACCTTCAATTGGAGTGTCTTTAATTTCATCGATAAACTTGAGCTCTTGAATGAATACATTTGTATCAACAACTATATAATAACTCTGAAAGAAAGTGAAATACAGAAAATAATTTTAAAACTTAAACTATTACAATTTCTAAGCAGAAAATGTTATGCAAACATAAAGTAAAAGCTAAATCCTATGTCAAGGTAAAATACAATGGCAGAAAAAATTAAATGATCAACAATAAAAACTCCAGTAACTTGAATGATTTTGCAGATAAGGACATGGAACACACATAAGATCTTTACTTTGCTATACCTGACACATAGCTTCAAAATGCAAAATTGCTTATTTCCATTACAAAAAAAAAAAAAAAAAAAAAAAAAAAAAAAAAAAAAGATAATAAAAAAAATTTAAATAAGAATATAAGAAATATGAAAAGTTGACAACTTTCTAGAGATAGACAGAAAAAATTAATAAAGTGTATGATGACATGACTGAAATGCAAATTTCACAGCAATTTCCCACGTTCTTTTAGACTGCCCAGGAACAAGTAACAAAGTGTATTCATGATGTATATTCATAATACACCTATTCCTTGATTTACACAAATAACTTCACTTTTTACTTGATTTTTTCCCTTTAAATCTTTTGGTATTACAAAACCTTAGGAAATTTATGTAAATTATAAAAATGCGACGAAAATGTAAATGTTGAAAACTTGCCAGTAAACATTCAAATATGTAGATAAAAATGACATAAGCTTTACTGCTAAAATACTGATATTGCACTAGTTCACATGAACCAAATAGCTTCACTGTTGCGCAATACATACTACAGGGATTTCCCTTTTACAACAGGAGGAATCCCCATCTTGTCGTTGCCATCAGTGTTACCATAGGAATAAGATTAAAAAATTACTTCAAATATATGTATTTGCATATATGCAGCCGAATATACATTTTTATGAAGTTTCTGAAATCTATTTATATTTCGTTCATATTATAACTCAGAATGCACAGAATTATCTAATCGTTGCCACAACTTCTATTCAAATACTATAATCAAGCTAGAACGATGTATGAAAGAAATTAAGCAAACAAAACAAAAAAGAAACAGTTTTTTCGCAGACAATTGAGTATTTCTCATTCAATTATTTCAGTTCTCACTTCACGACAAGGCAAAAATACATGAAAGCTCAAAATATCTGTATTAAAAATTACGAAGCAAATCTTAAATACTTATTTGCTCGAAAAAATTCCAGAAAGGATTAAGTATGATTTAATTCGCAATAATAAATGAAGGCATTATTTTTTGTTGTTGCGAAGCTTAGTCTCTCTAGATTGGCAACAAATCTACAATTCTGCTGTTTCAAATGTAAACAAATATGTCCACCATATTATTTAAAACTTAACCGCACTTAAACAGCTTTTATATTGTTGATAATTGTACAAATATTGCTTCCAGAATTACAAAAGGCATAAAAACCTTAACCGGAAGATAAGAACAACATAATTCAATCATTTTTAAAGCAAAAAATTTACAATTTACAAACATATAAGAGTAAAGAAATTGAGATCACTGAGCCAGGTAACAGATAAGAATGACCTAAGCTTTTGGATTATACATATTGGATATATACAAATATATTTATATACGTTTGGTGCGGCTGATTGCAACCAAAATACGAGGTGCATATCTACATGTTATAGCAGTCCTATATACAAAAGTTCATCGTCCTGAGGCTACTCGTTTTTGAATTATGCACGATATGTACATACATTCGTACAGACGCCACGAAAAATTCCCTTCAGAATTCATTTTAAAGCAGTTTTATAATTTTTTTGGAAGAAAAGAGTATTTTATTCTGTCCTTACATACAGATATTACGCAAAAGCATCATTAAATTGCATTCGATAGCGGTCAAAATGGATATTTTCGTTGAAATATGCTGCCTGAAACTTTTCGCGATTACAATACTTCCTTTTTACTTCATACAAGGATAAAAAGCAAAAGAAATTTATATAATGAGTGTCAGCTATCTTCTAGACATGGCTATTTGGAAATTCTTCATTTCACAAAAGAAACTACTCTTTTAGACATTGATAGTTACGATTTCTGCATGAATTTGAATACACATATTTTTCAAAAATTTCACATTACCATTCTATGATTCAGCAAAAGACAAAGGTTACAATGTTAACAGCCCTTTGCGACTTAGTCCTAGACCACTTTTCAGTTTATTACCATGACCTTCTTCAAACAAAAATGGAAAGTTTGCTTTAAGGAAAACAAAATTGCTTAAGTGTGCTGTGTGCTACCCCGCTATCTGTGTACTGGATGTGATGTTGAATTAGGTCTTCAATCACATTTCAGAATATATCAAACAATAGCTAAGTACTAATTATTTTTTTATTATACTGTGAATTTTAATTTTGCATTTTTGATATTTTCACTGTAACAATAAAAAGTATTTCGACGGTAAACTGTTCCTCTGCTTTTCTTCAAAATGCACTTAGGTGAAATACACTAGGTTCTAGGGAATGAATGTGGAAAATTCCATCGGCAATTAAGGGTTAAGAGCCTCATCTTTGCTTAGATTTCAGCATTCACAGTTGCACTTGTAAAAATGTGAAAGTCAGTACAATCATTTAAAATAATACCTCCCAAACCAAAATTTCACCACCTTTGTACTCATGTTTTCAGGTCTCAGTTCCAGTCTGTGGTTCTCCAATCACAATGATCTCTGATCGCAACTTGGCTCATTTCACAGACTGAATCAGTAGAATACAAATCATGAGTTTCCTTGCAAAAAGCCTTCTTTCACATAGCATGTTGCTCACAGTTTATTTCGTTAATGAAGGTCCTACCACTGTAGGGAAACCTTGGCTGATTTAGGTTATCAGTTCGTTTCAGCAATCATTGAAATGATGGTACTGAGAGTCTGTCATGGTCTGTTTTTTACCTTTATCTAACTGCCTGCATATATCACTAGTGTCCTTAAATCATTTCCAGGTTCTTGACCAAATCCTTCTAATTACACTTGTCTCTATACTGCTTCTCTTCTCCCAAAATGTCAAATGTCTCACCAACAACATGTTAACCTTCAAAACGTAAAACTTTTATCCAACTACTTACACAATCATTGAAATTAGAATTTGAAGTGCACCCGTTTGCACTATTAGAACTCTCTGCATTTAATAAAATTTGGCTGCTTTATGTGCCACTGTCTTTTAATAATGCAATGAATAAACATACATGAAAGATTCTTCATTATTTAACAAGAGATTTTAATAGATAACAGTTTTATCAATTCTGTATTCAAATTGTGTAAATTGAAATTTATGTGTAAATTAATTCAATCATTCTAAATAATTATAAAATGAAAGGAAATGGCTGAAAAATATTATCTGGTGAATCGTTTATTAAAATAAACACATAAAAAAATTAGATTTTCTGTATAAGAAAATATAATTTCAACAATGTTGTTGTCTTTTTCATATTACACGGAACAATGGTTGCCAGAGGTTGGCCTTCTATTTTCCACCACCAATTTTTAGGGAGAACACCCCCAATCCCTCTTCCCTTCCATCAATCCACACGTGAGGACTTTTGGCTCGCTGCGTATTTAGAGTTCCAGAATTCCACCATGCCGCATCGACATTATACATTTAACAAACATCAATGTCTTCTCCGGGATTCGAACCCGGGCCCTTCAGTACCGTAATAGGCTCCCCTAACCACTATACCATTGGGCAGCAATTTCAGCAATTGCATACAGTTTTAAATACTGAATTTAAAATAATTTTTTTTCATTTATGCTTTTAACTCTAAATTCTGCGCTTAAAAGAAATAAAATTTTTGCATTTTGATTTATGTTTTCAAGTCCAAAATATTTTTACTATATTACTTATTTGTTACCTATATTATTTTTATTAATCTTTTTACACAGAAAAATATTTTTGACACTGAAACAGAAAATGAACACAGTACTTACAATAAAACCATCAGAACATGCTTCATCTGAAGAAAGATCCTCTATTTTGGTCAAGTCTTCAGAAACCTAAGTGTTCAGTTAATATTTTCATTATATTTACTTGAACACTTTATTCAAAAATCATGATTATTGGTTAAGAAACCAAATTTCAAAACACAACAGACAAAGCCAAGGAATAATTTATTGCATATTTATAATTTTGTGCCCAAACTGGAATCTACTACAATATTTTTAAATCTATATAACTTATGTAGTCTTTATACTTAGCTCCTAACTCTATATTTAGCTCAAATTAGTACCAATATTGAATAGCGTAAAGAATAAAAGAGGCATAACGTATTATTTAGTTCTAAACTATTACACAAATAAAATAAGTAACTTGTAAGGTTTCATTTATTTTTACTGCTAGTTATAATTTGCGAGCTTTTTCTGTTTTCTCTTATTCCCTTCACGCTTCCTCACCAGGACGTAAATGAGTTTTGGTGAACGAGAGTATTTAAGCTGTTGGAGCAAAAACTTTAACAGAGTGTGATTTCGCTACTGTGAGTGTACACTACTAATTTTTCCAGTTGTTAACTTTAAATGTTGACTATGCATTCTTGTCGCCGAATTACTATTCAGCCTGTGTAGTTTCTGAGTCAACATGTTAGCTTTAAATTGAATTGTGTAGTCTTGTACAACTCACACTTTTAATTTAGTATTATGTATCTTTTAAGTTCTCACCGCAAGTGATCAGTGTTTGTAAGAATGCAAGTTTATGCCATCTGTAAATTATATTGTGTTCAATAAAAGGTCTTTAAAAAGCATTGTAAATTAACATTAAGATAAATGATACCAAACAAAATGCTGGTGTGTTTATAAAATCAAGCAGAAAACTGAACACAGCTTCTTCTTTTTAAGACAGCAGGTACAAATTAATGAAAAAAAAAAAAAAAAATCTGAATGTTTTCAGGTTTTAAATTACGCCCAAATGGGTGTTTTTTTAACGTTTTGTGTGTTAACTTTATTTATTAAATATCATGTTTAATATATCAAATATCAAACCATAAAATTCAGTTCAACAGCAATATTGCAAAATAATGTTAAAATGAGCCTAACTTTAAAATTTCGGATACAAAGTCTCGCACACTGGAGACAAAAAAAAATTTTTTCCCATACAGTGCTGCCATTGCTTGTTTTGAAATCGTTTAATTTCTTAATAAAAAATTCGTTGAAGTGTTACAAAATATGAAATCAATAATAAAACAAATTTCAAATTCAAATTAGGGCTTCCACATGCCCACATTCTATGGAGGATTACGTTATTCAAATTTTGATGGCTCTAGGTACCCCTTTTTTATCACAAAACGAGAAACATACATACATTAATGCAGATTCTTCATTATTTAATTTCTTTAACTATAATATAGAACGATAATATTTGGTGACAACAATTTGAAAAGTAATTCGTCGTTTATAGTTTTCAACGGAAAAGGCCACAACAAAATCAATAATTCTTCAGGGCAAATTGCCTCTCTGGACTAGAAAACTTCATGCCAATATTGAAATGAGTTTTTTTTTTTTTTTTCCGGGGGGGGGGGGGGCTAGAGAAAATAAAGAAAACCTAAAATATTTTCCTTATTCTTAAAAAATACACAGATATTAAGGATTAAATGTTCTTAAGAAACTCTCTCCATGATAAATGCCAATAAACTATTTTATTTATAACTAATGACAAGAGATGAAAGAACTGCAAGTCAGAAATGAATCAAGACAGAATGAAAATGGAAACACAATAAATCACCACAAGTTTAGAATCCAAAAATGTGGCAGGAAGATTCAGAGCACGATATTTTGGTATGAAAAAGGATTACTCCCAGACAGATAATAGCATAACAAATGTTCATCATGTTAAGATGCTAACCTGCTGACTCAACTCTAATAAGCAATAAAGGTTCAATGTCATGGTAAATTTGGCAAAAAATCATTGCTATTACACAAGATTTTTCTTGACTGCTATTCAGCAATACATATTTCAGCCACTTCTCCATTCATTGTACTTGGCCGCATAAGACTTATCTTTCAAAAACTGAAGATACGTTTGCATAGTTCACAAATCTCTCCTTCTCGTACTGGAATGATCATCAAATGCAGAAAATTCAAAAATAATTTTAGATATCTATCCTTTTAAATTTGTATTAGGGTTATATCAAAAGTGGTGAACAACTTCAGAATTATCAAAAGGTTAAATATTTTATTATGCTCCCTCAAAAAAAAAGTCACATTCTGATGAATTATGTAAATTAACAACCTTCACTATCTGCCCCATTGAAGACAAAGAAACCAATGAAAGCACACCAGGAAAATTCAGTTCACATCACAGGAGATAATACTTTTCTATGACCTTACCTTCTCTATCTTCAAAGAAACTAATGCTTTTTCATGGAAAAGTAAACTCATTTCACAAAAGAATAAACTGTATTTGTACAGGCAATAAGTGCATAAAGGGTCTGTCTGATGTTCATGAATGACATCAAGTAGAAATTTTCTTCCACTTCAACATCAATATATCCATTAAAAAAAATCTGGATTCAATTCAATGTATTATAAAATATGTATCATCTAAAATTATCAGCAAGAGATAGAGATAAATGCTATAAAATAATAATATTTTACAAGCAGTAATATAAGACAACTAAAAAATTAATACATATTTAATTAAAGTTCTTTTTGATAAATATTACAAAATTAGTTTACTATTTTCAAAAATAAACCCATCAAGAATAAAACTGTATTTATTTTTATATACACATGGTCATCATCTAGTCAGAAATCATCATTTAGACTAAGTCATCATCATTAAGAAATACTAAATGTTACAAAAAATTCATTGAGAAATTGCTGTAATTTTCTGATAAGTTCCTAAAAATTGATTGGACATTATTTTAAAAACTGTCTTACTCTTTATGGACAATTAACAGCAACAGGTTTCCACAACAACTCGCAAGATGGATCAGAAATTAATATAAGACTTTCTGAATGATACATTTATTCTATTAATTGCTGTGGATAATAAATATGTCTAATATGTCAACAATATTTAATGCACATTAATATAAACAAAAAAAAAAAAAAAAAAGGTTTTAAAATTGCTTCCCCTTAGATTCTTCTCACACACAGTTTTTAACTTTAGTATTTCATTATACCTTTTAAAAATGTAAGGCATATACTTACATCAAGCATTTCAATGTCTTCAATAAAACCACTGTCAGTTTCATTAGTTATTGAGCTTAAGTTTTCCAAATCATCATTTTGTGCTGTATAAATAACAAACATCAAATTACAATTTTATAAATAATACAGAAAATATAAAAGCATATAGGTAACTTCATTTATTTGACATCATCATTCTTGCTATCATAAAATGAATATTCTTCAGAGATAAAATGTATTAACATTAACTTTTTTTGATAAATTTTATTTTTTTTTAACTCATGATAGGCTGAATTTTTTTTAAATAATACTGAAAGATCACGCAAACAAATTTTGATAATCCTAAATACAAATGTAAGGTATATTTTAATTTCATGACAGTTATTTTAATTAAGCTTTCCTATCGTTCCTTGTTTCAACTTACTCCCTACCAGGATGAGGTTTTAGAATTGTGTTGAATGCAAATGAGTAAGAAATAGTATTAAAGGAAAGTTCAACTCTTCAAGGAAAGGGAGTGCTAGGAATCCTGAGTAACGTACATTTGCCTTTGGACTAAGTCTTTCTAACTGCTGTTACACTCAGCCGTATATTATGTGCATTTTGATAGTTCGCCGTCTAGTTTAAAACTAAGGGCCAACTATGTTAGAATTGTTAGCTTCGACTAAATATCTTAGTTCTTACTTTTGAGTTTAAACCCAAGGCTTTGTCGTAAGCCTGAAAAAAGGGGCCGGCTGCTCAGCTTAGTTTGAGTGAATAAAGGATAATTAACCCTTCTTGAGTTTATGATTTCTGTTATATGAACTAAGCGATAATTCACCTAACAATTCACTAGGTTCCTCGACATTTAATTTTGCAGAATAAACGTGAGGAACTCTACACAACAATTAATCATACATAACAGCAGAAAACAGCAAGCATAAATTAACATCAACTTTTTTTATTATGGAATGTAAAAACTACAAACCTTTATTCTGAGGTTCTAGTACTGATAGGTTTAATTTGTTTACTTGATCAGCTGTATTAAGAGCAAGTACATCACATACAGATGGAGCATTCCTTTCCTTTTCTTCTTGACGTAATCGCCTACGTTTCTTTTTACTTCTTCTCATTAATTTTTTATGTTCTGACTTGTCACTTATGATTGGTAAAGATGATACTGGTTTCATCGGGCTGTTGGCATAACGTTCATTCACCACAGGATTAACTACTGCAGTAGGAGGAACAGAAGCACACAAGCTTTCCTCTTCTGCATTACCTTTCCTAGACCTTTTTAATGTCTTAAATTCAGGTAACAGATTACGAGAACATTTCTTAAGGTCTTTTGTGGTCTTAAAAGACTCTGCATTCTTTCCAAAGTCAGTCATTTCGTAAGGCCTTTTAATAGAAACAGGTTCTTTAGTATAGCATTCCTAAAATAAACACATATAATTTAAATGAAGTTGTATTGAAATAACAAAAAAAAAAAAAAAATCATTTCAATTACTTGCTCATTACAAAGAGAAGAAAACTAAAATTTAAATATATTAAGCTTAATAGAAATAGAAACTGTACTTTCTGATTATCCTTATCCCCACTGAAAAGTTATAAAGAAACCACATACTGCAGGTTTTGTTATTTTCGACAAAAACTTGGACTTACTTTTCTGCACACATAAAGCATAATATGGCTCACTCAAAGGACCTCATGAACCTCATTTTAAGATTTGGTCCCAAGGTTTGGCTAAGAATTTATGGAATTCTTTGATTTATTTTAGCGAAAACAGGTCCCGGTGTACATGGCAAGAACAACAATACCAAAAAAAAAAATATTAATAGACAAACAAAATATTTTTGGAAATTCTTTTATGGAAAAGAAGAAAGCAAAAAAATAGCTGACAAAAGATGCATTGTTGAAATAAGATGTAAAAATATCTAAATAAATGTTTCTCTCCAAATTTGCCAACAAGTTTGCGAATACTCTCCAGAGTCAGCAATAAGCTTGCAAATTTTCATTGGGAATGCAAATAATCAGAAAGTATAAAAAAACTCCTGAAATTTTTTTAGAAAAAGAAAGTTATATAAAAAATTTGAAAGCCACTGCTCATGAAAAAGAACATTCCTTAAATACAGGATTATCTACTACATCTATAGGAATACTACACATTCCTTTGTTTTGTATTCAACAGAAAATGCAAAGTTTCTTAAAACTATAATATTATAGTTCTGTAAGACTTCACATGAAACTGTACAGAATACGTTTTCGCGTGCGCGTTTTATGTATAACAGAGGGTATAGGCTAAAATTATCTAATTATCTATTTCAGTTAATGTTGATGATTGCGTTGTTCTTTAATCTTTGAATTGGATCTGGCTTATTATTTTTTGCAGACTGTAAGAGCAATTTTATAAAAGTAAACTTGAACTTTCGATTATGTCAAATAGAATTTTCGATGCTGGAGCTCTCAAAGATCTACAAAATGAAAGTATGTTTCGATGTCCATCAAACAAAAAGTGGAATTTTTCAGAGAGGTTAGTGAAAACGAAAAAATTTTGATTGACAAGTTAGTCGGTATTCTCGGCACAGCAATTACGGGACTTCAGTGGAACTTTGTAACTGAATAAGGAATTATGTCTGTTTATAGAATTAAAGAGAAAGTATTATCACATAAAACGAAGCAACTTAAACAACTTACATTGAAAGAAATGTTTAATAAAGTAAACAAATAAATATTAAGCCTTTTTTTTTTTTTTTTTTTTAATTTTGATACCCTTTAGATCATAATTATTCTTTATTTCATAAATTACAGTTTCATATTTTTAATTTTAGAATTTCTGCATGCCATCTTACGAGATTTAAACTGATGATCGATAATCTCGGAAAAATCGAAAATCCGGAATCGCCGAAGTCCCGACGAGTTCGGATTAACGGCTTTTGATTGTACTATGTAACTAACAACTGAGAGTATAATTACTAGATGCACATAATGTTTATTCATTTAAAAAGTTCAACTGTTCTCTCATGTTGCAAATTTGCACTAAATTGTCAATTGAAATTTTTTTGTTCTCAGCAGCCTCTCTGTCACTTTTTCACTACTGATAACAAAATTTTTTGGATTTAGAAACATAACGCAGATTTCACTGTCCGTTAGATGATTGGGGTTGCAATGAAAAACATCTTTTAAAGCATCTTTATTTGAATCTTCAAATTTATCGCTGGGAGTCTGCAGCTTAACCTGAAAGAGATGGCATATTTGCAATACTGCTACATTAGGAAAAAAAAAAAAAAAAAAAAACTGGCATAATTAAAAAAATGTAATTGTTCACTTATGTCATAATCAAAACAAAAATGTAGTCTACTTTGATGTGGGTGTCACTAAAAACATTGGTTCAATCTTCTTGGAGGGTATTCCCTAAAGTAGTGGTTTTCGAGTTGCACCACTTTTAGCTACAGCAGCAATATGCTACAATGACCTAGTCACTTGCTTCTTTACATATATACATATGCTGTAATAATTCCCTGCAGCAAAATACTATGGATTTTAATGATATGGAACAAAATCCCATGAAGAGTTTAAAACCTCAATTTTAGAGCTACTGAATGCAGTACAATAAGAAATTATATATAATATTTTACTAAATTATGTAATTACATACTTTTCCATTAATAAGATAGCAATTGCCATTAAACATAAACGTTGGTACTAAATGCAATTAATGATATATTCAATACAAATTGCAGCACAACATGATCATACATGAATAACCGAGGAAATTATCAATTTCATGAAGAGAATAATTAGCAATACTTTCTTTTCTTGGTATGATGTTGGCTGTAATGCCATTTTAATGCTGCATCAGCACTAAAGCATAGCTGCAGTCATGATTATTTCAATAAAGTTTTTCATTACCACTACTTCCTTTTTGTATGCTGCTGCATACAAAAAGCATACAATTTAATTTTACATACAATACAATTTCTGCATACAATTTAACTGCAAACCTTTCAATGTGTGGGAAATGCCAACTTTCTGAGTTTCTTCCCCACAAATTAAAAAATCTTGAAATAAAAATGCATTTGGATTAAAAAAATAATGATTTACAATGTTACAAGGCTGCTGCCACTGGCAAACTTAATACACCTTTTTGCTGTCACATTGTTAATGGAAAACTGACAGAAGCGCAGTCTTGCTGTGAAATAATTAACATTTTACTGCTGGAAATAATTTTCTTAAGTTTCTCTAAAGAAAATGTCAATAATAAAAATAAATGCCAATAATTACCGCTTTAGTAGTCTGAACACTGGATGAATTCAAAACTGGACATTCCCAAGAAGAAGCACCTGTTATCACATTGAAGTAATATACTCTATCTGGATATCTTTTAGAGCTGGCAACTATCCAACCAGAAGGTAAAATACTTTTAACAGCATTCTGCTCCATTGCTGTGTTAATTCCAAATATTGTTTATTCTAAATTAAAAAAAAAAAAAAAAATGTACATAAGCATTTACATAATTTACAATTTTTTTAAAAAAAGTTATCATTCACAATAGTTAAAAAATATGGAATTTATCTCATCAAATGTATTAAGATTTCAGAATTTCTTTAACTAAAGAATGGTAGACTAAAATATCTTACATACACATACGAAAAATTAAATCAAACAGAAAGTTTACGAAAGTAAAAATAAACTCAGCCACAGTGCAAGCTAGATCACATAATTTAAGTAACAATTTGCTTATTTTCCATACAATTAACATGCTATATATTCATCAATTATAATGTGAAATTCTCTTATATACTACTGAGATGATAACATTTCTCAGATTTTAGAAAGATGTACTTTCCTTCAAATTTCAAATTAGTACACTGGAGATAAAAATTAATTACTTGAATTCGTTAGTACTCTTGCATATGTTTCACATACAGGCAGAAGATATAAAAGTACTTTTTCTTATTTGAAGCATTTTTATATATGTTTTACCTACAGAAAATAATACAGCATCATAAGACATAATTACAAAATAATTATTTTAATTTCAAGACAAAATCTTTAACCCTTAGAAACTGAAGCTTTCAATAACCTGAATGCTTGAAACACTGAAGGGCACAACATGCCTTTGAGATTCACAGCAGTTTCCTCCCCTTCCCTTTCATTAACGCACAAACAGGTGTGAAGAATTCAAATGAATCCTTTCTACTTTCTAACAAATTAAGATACGAAACTACAAATAAATCCTTTTAGGACAAGCCATCTTCAACAAACATTTGGGGAAACTGAACCTGTTACTGTATACCATCTTGACCTGTTACTGTATTTGGGGGGGGGGGGGGGGGGGGGGGGGGGGGGGGGGTAAGGGGGGGGGGGGGGGGCAAGGACCAATGCCTTCAGCCATTTTTTGGTCGTTTGAATGAAAGGTTGCTTCGAGTGTTTTGGTATTGAAAAAGTTAATCTTTAATAATCCTTTGCCTTTCCAATGTTAAATTTAGATAAAGTGTATTTAGTCATCATTTAAATAAACTACTAATATATGAAACAGCTGCACATACATATGTATATTTTAAGTGGGTATATTTAAAATTTCTCTTCTTTCAATTTTTAAGTATAAATTTCAGTGTCATATCAGTTTAAAGTTTTTTATTGTGTTCTGGTACATTAAAATTTTCGGTACTATTCGGTTTCGAGGGCCGTAAAAAATCGCCAAACTATTGTTGATGCCAGTGCTGCCAAAAGTAATTGTGACAACCCTAACGCGTAAGAAAGGAAGTATAATAGTAAATAACTATCTAAGATTATTGTTTTAATTTATATGAAAGGTTAATTTCATATAATATTTCGCTACCGAGTTATCGCTAAAGCATAATGTCATCTCGTTGGTTGCTCAAACATAATTTTCCATAATGAATGATGCCTTTTCTTGGAAAACATTTTCGGTAAAGTGCTGAATCGCCCGCTTATTTCTTTGCCGCTTTTTACAAGGGTAAAAACAATTGGAATGGTGTCAATTTTCTTTTACTTTTTAAGTGACATTAGGTCGATGTGTATACAGATAAAGTCAAGGGTTGCGCAGTGCCATTTTTGTGCAATTCTAGGATTTTTTTTAAAGTGAAAATAAGTTCGATGTGCAATATGGATACTGAGTATGTGCAATTTCTTAAAAATGCATCAAGCGTAGTGGGTGATTCTGCAACTTTACCCAAAATTCCATCGCAGTCTTTTCATCATAGGAAATTCCCAAATTGTTAAATCTATAGGATATCAAAAAAGGAATTAAAAATTAAACTAGGTATTTCAATCGCGTGTCTTAAGAAATATAGAACTATATAAACTTACACAATCTGAAATCGGCGCATACGCGAGATTTGGCACGCTGTTAAATGGGCATGTTTGCTAGATTTGGCACTTTCACGCATACATTTTCGCTGCAATTTTTTTACGGCCCTCGAAACCGAATAGTACCAAATTTTCATTTTGAAGATTACATATTTTATCACAATTTGCATTTCATGCTTAAAATTTATGAATTTTTCACTCAAATTTTTGAAATGCAGCTTTTTTCATTTAAATTTGTTTTACATTTTTAATGTTAAAGGAATTCCAGATTTATTCTATGATTTTATTATATTTCACTTTTTTTTTATTCCCTGTCTGTTGCCATGTTTTAGAAACTGTTTGTTGTTTAGAAATGGCAACCATACAAAATATGCCATTTGATGTTATTTTGCAAATAACTTGTTTACAGAGTGAATGCTGGAATGGAATATGAAACTATTTCCATTCCTTAATATTAAAAATAATTACTTATTCCTATTACAGACTTTCAGATACTAAAAATGATACTTTCTTGTCAAAGCAGTCGTATGCATTTGGCAATATCTGAAATCTCCACATTACAGCTTGCCAATTTTGGCTTGTTGTTTTTAAGCTTAAGTGCCAATTTTGGCTTGTTGTTTTTAAGCTTTAAGTACCAGTTTTGGTGTGTCTAAGTGTAATGGCCAATTTAAAAAAAAAAAAAAAAAATCCTCAAAAAAATTATTTTAAAGAATAGCATGGGTATTTACTTGGTACTTTTTCATTTTTACAGCTCCCAGGCTTTAAATGTTGAACAACGATAAATTGCCAATGTCAATAACATACACTATGCAACACATTCACTGCAAAAGCTGATATGGGGCATTCGTTCACAAAAGCAAAATCCTATCTGTAATTTTATATTTTTGAATTATTTTGTGTTGTTATATTACTTAACTATACATATAACATACTACTTTCAGTAATAAATGAAATCACATGAGTATAATAAGAGTTGGCATATGAAATAATAATATTGCTCCCTGGGCAAAGTTTGAGATAACTCAGAACTAGATAAACAATACTTGCCCATTCTATGCATTCATACAAGTGCAATATGATATTTTCAATTAATCTTACAGGAGTCACTGAATAAGAATCTGAACAGTCCATTTTTAACCTTTTCCAAGTGAATACCCCCCCCCAAAAGAAAAAGGTTTTGTATTCTAAGCATTTAGTTATTCGATCAATCTATTCTGTTTTCAGAAATAAAATATTCGTATCAATGTAGCCCATTCTATAAGCCAAATACCTAAACACTGCATGCATTTGCTATGGTAATACTCACTCACACTCAATGATTTAGGTAAGGCGAATTAACAAATTATCTCGTAGCTGGAAAATAAAACTCGGTTTATTAACTACAAGCATTCTCATAGATAGCAGTGAATCTGTTAAATTTAGCAAAATAAAATTTCCTTTTCTAAAAAATACTCTTATATGAGTATAGGTTCTTAATAGACTGAATGCATAAGGAATTAGTAACAGCAAGATAAAAATTTATTTTTGGTACTTCTTTGTTATACCAACCTCTGAGATTGAATCGGCAATCAATCGAGATACATGATTGCTATGTGACTGTATGTTACCTGCTAAATGCTAATATGCGATAACGTTATACCTCGCAACGTTATCGCATATTAGCATTGTGTTGCATTTTTGCTCTTGATGCATTTTCTTATATTATTAATTTTTGATGTTTTTGAACTCGCATTGTTTATTTATTTAATTTCTTTAAAGGGGGCAAATTGCCCAGAAGGACTATTAATTTCCTTTTGGCATTTTGCGTCGATTCATGATAAGCATTGTTTCATTTTTCAAATTGTTGCCACTAAATATTATTGCCCTGTATTATATTTAAAGAAATTAAATACTGAAGAATCTGCATGAATGTATGTATGTTTCTAACATTGTCATAAAACAACGGTACCTACAGCATCAAAATTTGAATAACGTAATCTTTCATAGAATATAGGCATCTGAAAGACCTAATATGAATCTGAAATTTGTTTTATTACTGATTTCATATTTTGTGAAACTTTAACGAATTTTTGATTAACAAACTCGAGGAATTGCAATGTTGTACAAAAAAAACATTTTTATCTCCAGCGTGTGAGACTGTATCGGAAATTCTAAAAATATCCTCAATTTAAAATTATTTTGCGATATTCCTCTTGAATTGAATTTTATGGTTTAAGTGCAAAGAACATGATATTTATTAAATAAAGGTAACACATAAAATGTTTAAAAAAATGCCCTTTTGAACGTAATTTAAAATCTGAAACCTTTCAGTTTTTTTATTATTATTATTTTTTTTTAATATGACGTTAACTATCTTTACTTTACCAAATAATGAGCTGGATATCATACCATTTCGGCTGAACTTTTGGAATATGGTAACAGGTAGTTTGGCAACATTTTGGAGGCAATAAAGGTTACTACCTAGGACTTTGGTAATAATGTGAGAAGCACTCAGTTCCGTTTACGCATTATTTTGTGTGAGGCAAATGAGAGATCATGAGATATGTCATGTGACATTAATGGACGAATTACAGTTCTTTAATTGGAAAAAGGGGTAAATTTGGAAAAATTATTTTGTATTATTAAGCTTCATTGTGTGTTGTGTGAAATAGTGTTGATTAATTTTCTGATTGCATGGCGCTATGTAAAGTGAATTCTAAATTTTTAATACGTAATAATTAATAATAAGTTGACTACTGGTTTTCGGATTTAGAAATTAGCAGTAGTACTGCAGCCGATTGGAACTCTTTCTGTAGGGAAGTGTGCGTGCCACGTAATGAAGATTCTGAAGAAGATTAGATAAGTTAGTATTTTTAATCATTTGAGGATATTATTTTTATGCATTGTTCTAAATGTAAGGAGTAAATAAATTAAAATGGTATTATTGGAAAATTGGGTACTATTCGGTTTCGAGGGCCGTAAAAAATCGCCAAACTATTGTTGATGCCAATGCTGACAAAAATAAATGCGGTAACCCTAATCATTGTGGCAAGAAAGGAAGTATAATAGTAAATAACTATTTAAGATTGATGTTTTAATTTAGATGAAAGGTTAATTTCATATAATACTTTTTCATTATTATAATTTATATGAAAAA